TGCCAGACTTAATGATCCAAACGGAAAGATCTTCTCATTCATATGCATTGGTTTTCTCCCACAGCAGTGTGCGTGCATGTGTGTGCATATGTACACGCCCACTCAATGTGCCACAGTAGCTGGTGTAAGAACAGAAGCATGAAGGAGGATTCATGAGCACTGTGAAATGAACATGGAAAGGGACTGCCTGGTTTTTGAGTCAGTTTGGATAGGTGGGAGGAATTGGGTTGGGTTGGCAGTGTTTTGTTTTTGTTGGGGAAAATGTGACTTCCAGCCCAGATACCAGGTTTCTCTGTATTGAAGTTGGGCTCTTTTTCCTGAATTAGAATATTGAAGAGGTAAGTGAAGGTTGGTTCCCTGACAGATTTATTAGACAAGCAATAAATAATACCTTATCCACTTTACAGCATGACTGATCCCATTTCCATGCACTTCTGTTTCGATAAATGCATCTGCGTTAATAAGAACATTAACTTCTAGAAGGGAGCACAGAGCCCCTGTCTTGCTGGAATCCTTCTTTAGCCTGTGAACTGCAGCATGTGTTTATTTTTGCTGTCTGTATATGGTATTTTTTGCTCACTGGAAAAGTTGACAATGTTTCAACCTCTGCATGTTTTTTTCTTGATTTTTGTTAAATTTTTTACCTTCCTCTTTCTCTCCTAGACTAGCAGAAATCATCTTAAAATCATCAGGAAAGGTGGTATATTCCCGGGAGGGGGTTGCTATTGCTTTTTCCATAGTTTACACCTAGAATTATTCCTGTCAGCCTCTGGAAGCTGGCTAGATTTTGATGTTCTTTGGTTTTCTGAGTCCCAGTGTTTTGCAAAGCATAACCCAGGTGCCTTCTGCACTAGACTCCCTTTTCATTTGAATTTAACATAAATACAGCATAGATAACAGCACTCTGTTCCAAACAGAAGTCAAATGTGGTCAGTTAATAGAAGCAGTTTACTGCCACTAGTTCAGCCTTCGTTGCAAGCAAGATACGTAGTCTGTGTCCTTCAGAATGGATAGACCCATATACACAAAATGGCCTCTTGTACCTGCACTATTTCAGCACTGCTGCTGTTAACACTAGTAAAGTAAAAGAGAGCTAAACACACAGGCTGAGATCTGTAATTCATTCTCTTCTTGAGAAGTACCTTACTTGTTGGGTATGAAGTCCATCTTCATACAAAGAAGGGTGACAGAACCTCAGACTTATTACAGAGTAGGAGAGAACCGATTAAAGAATGACTTCTGTAATCTAAGTTGTGAACTGATTTTCTAAAGAGCCTAATCCCTGTTTGAGTAACTGAATGAACTGGCTGGACTTGGAAATGGTGGAAGCTGCTGCCTGTGTAACTTAAAAATGAACAAAGCCAAAGCCTGGCTGTTTCACTGGGGTGTGAAAGGAGCACTGAGGACAAACTTAAACACCAAAGCAGGATGTCCTGTTATTCCAAGAATGAGAAACTGCTGAAGTCAGTGTAAAGGATTTAACAACATAGTCCACAAGAGGCCAGTATGTATGTAAATTTTGAACTACTCAAAGCCATATTTGTCCAGTGTAAAGGGACCCAGGCATCTTCCTAGGAATGCAACAATCTACAGGACTTCATGTGAGCTGAGGGACACAGAAGGGTCAGTAATGGTGTTGAAAGCTCCTGTCTCTTTAATAGGAATGATCATGACCTTAGCAGCTGGGAAAAAAAAGGTAAAATAAACATATATTCTCAAGAATGTCCTACTATTTTGTATTCTGTGGCTGCGGGCAGGCAGGGTGGAAATTGGCTGTGTAAGATCAATAGCTTTAGTCTCATATCTGCTTTGTTTTTCCTTTCCTTCCCTTTCCAAGAAAGTAACCTTGTGAAGTACCACTCTGAAGTATAACTCCTTGAGACGCTTAAAACCAGGAGTAAAAGAGCTGTGAAAAGTATGGTGTAGG